CTATCTGAGGAAGATTTGGAGGTATGGTCTTGCAGGAAGAAGTGTGTCACTGTGGGCAGGCTATGAGATTTGAAAAGACTGACTCACTTCAAGTTAGCTCTTTCTGCTTCCTGTGTGGTGTTTCAGACATGAGCTCTAAGCTCCCACAGGAACTGTAAGCCCCAAATAAATCCTTTTGTAAGCTTCCCTGGTCATGGTGTTTTATCATATCAGCAGACAGTAACTAATACAGCCATGATGTTTATCACAGTATTAGAAAGCAAATTGGGACATGTGTAAAAGGAGTTCTTAATTGATCAAGACAATAAAACAGTGGAGTCAGATACAGAGGGAAATGCTGAGAGGTCAAGAAAAGGAGCAAGCCACAGCACACCTTACTTCCTAAGAGTCTCACCAGAGAACAATTGCCTGTTTCTTCCTTCTTATGTCCTGTTTCTACCCAGCTACATCACTTCCTGTCTGTCTGTATAGACCTCCAGACCACTATGGTTAGCTAGTGGCAAGCTCCATTTTCTTACCCCCCAGACAGGCTTTATTTGTGCAAGAAATATATTACCACATATCCCTTTTTTGTCTAAAATGTTATAACTAATATGAGAAAAACTATGTATAATAAGTACAATAACTATATACAATATGTATATATGACAGTAATTACATTAACAATGTGTAGTCCATAAGCATATGACAAATTCCAAGAAAATATTCTATTACTTATTCTTTCTAGATGAATTCAAAGTCTTGTACCTAATTTATTTTTCTATTCTAATTTGCATATCAAATTATCTTATGTATTTTAAACCTATTATGCTTAATACAGCTATAGTGAGTTTCTTTACTGATTCTGGTAATCAGAGAAATGAAAACTATACTATTTAGTCTTCAACTCCTTCAGAGACCAAGAAGGAAATAATATTAACTGAGTAAACAAGAATTGCAAGCATATAAATTCCAAAATATGTGAGAAATGAGAGAAACAGCTGGCTGCCTGGACAGTCGCCCAAGATTGCTCTGCAACATTGGGTCATCCATCTTTGGCCTATAGGCCTAGCTTATATAACAGAAATTTCTGTGATCCAGGATAATATGAAGGACTGGATCACCTTGTCTTGGCAAGGTTTGTAGTTTTTAGTGTCCTGTTTGTCCAATTTGGACAGCATACTGTCAGCAGTTCAGGCAAGGCACTTTCTTGCCCAGTGGCTTAACTTTACCACAAAGAACTCAAATTCCATATGGAGTTTCTTCAATGCCCATCATCTTCTCTGACATAGATTGGTGCTGCCAGGAGCAGACATGTCTCATAGTTATAACAAAAGAACCTATGTTATTAAAACATGTTAAATGCCTTATTCTATAGATCTCTGAAATGTTTGAAGATGGTCTGTCTTCCTACTATATCATTTTGACCTTGAAAACATACTTAAAGAGACTACAAATTCGATTGTTGACTAATTACTAAACTACATTTCTTTACTACCCTATATTATTAATAATAATAATTTCAAGGATTAGAAATTTGTATTACATTGTTAAATGAGCTATATAGATACAATACCTTGAGTATTAGAAACATATGTACAGTATTGCAAAATTAATCTCAAATTTGTATCAATATACAACATTTGTATACAATATACAGAAGTCCAATCCAATGTAATCTACTTTTTAAAAGTAGATTCAATAATATACATTTTCATTTCATCATATTTATATTCTCCCTTTATTCTTTTCAGAGTAGACTCAGTAATTACCCTTTTTATATTATCATATCTGGATTCCTCTGTATTTTTTGAAAACAAAAACCTAAATATAATCAATCCCCTTTGTTCAACTTTCTTTCTGATCATAAGCAACAACACATGGATCATTTTTTCATGTTCTGTCCTTCATGGACCTTGAATAAGCCAAGTACCTTGTCTCCCAGGGACTCTCCTGTGCTGTTTATGGTACACTGCGCACTTTTAAGTGGACTGTTGCATAATTGTCTTCCCATTCTACTGTGCATACTTTCAACTAGTCAGTGACATTGCTGACTTCTTCAACATAGAATTTGGCCATCTATCCCTTTTAAGTACACACCCCCTGGGATTTTATCATCTGTGATTATAACGTTCAGGATCATGATTTTGGAGGATTATATACTCTCTGTCTTTTTTTATCATTAGGGGTTTCTTCACTCAGAATTATAACATTCAGGAGTATGTCTTTAGGTCTTATGATTTGTTGGAGCTTATATGTATCACATATGATGACACAATTTATTTTCAGGAACTAAGAGGATAAATTTGTGATACATTAGACTCATTGTTACAAATGATGAAGAAGTTCATTAACCCTTTCAGATACTTACTGAACAATTACTTTATACTATGCTAAATGTTTGGAACTCTGCCATCAAGTAACTCATTTCCTGCTGAAACAAAATGATATCTACTGAGTACTTCTTACACTGCAGTCCTGATACTAAGTGCTTCCTCACTGAGTGAGGAAGCTAGACAGCACATGAAGAAGCAAATATACAAGAGTATATAATAGATAACAATCATTTCTTTAAAGAAAAATAGAGGAGAGTATGGTTGATTAACAACAGCCTACAGCTATGTGAAGCTCAATTCCCAGAGCCTGTGGACACATTATTTTGTATAGCAAAAGTGACCTTGTGGATACAATTGAGCTAAGTATTATCTAGGCATTCTCATGGAATCACACATTTCCTTGTAAGAGGGAGTAGAGAAGGTTCAAAGTCAGAAAAAAAGGGGGATCCATGAATGGGAAAGGGAATATTATGAAACTGTTGTCTTGGAAGAAAGGGTGGAGCCCAGAAACACAGCATAACTATAAAAGCTGGAAGGGTCAAGGAATGAGTACTCACCAAGAAAAATGGGAGGTTTATTGACACCTTGACTTCTTTTTTGGTTTAGACAGAGCTTTGTGTATATCTTGAACTCATTATATGGTCAGAGAAAATCCTGACTTTTGACCTTCATTCCTCTACTTCTCTGGCTGGGGGCTGGGATTACAAGTTTGTTTCATCACACCCAATTTTCATGGTTCTTGTCTTTGTGTATGCAGGTGCACAGATGAGGGCAGACCAATGTGAGTGAGTCATGAGGATGGAATGCACAGGATTTGTAGTGAGTTGAATGGGGGACATGAGACAAAGGATTAAATGTAGTGTGTGGGATTCTGATGACATTCATTGATTTAAAACCTTCCAGGAAGAACATGTTTGTGATAGAAAACAGTGAGTTAGATACATCTCTGAGGTGTACTGGCTAGGTAAACAGGGATGAGATGTAGACAATTGGACCATAATATCTGAAGTTTAGAACAGTTCTGGAGTTGATAATATCACCTCTGGGACTCCAGCCAGTATAGACACATGGTGTGTGTGTGTGTGTGTGTGTGTGTGTGTGTGTGTGTGTGTGTGTGTGTGTATGAGAGAGAGAGATTCTAAGACCTAGGTCTGGAAGCACAGAAATCTTTAGAACTCTTGAAGAAGACATCTCATCAGAAAGAGTAGGAGCATGGACTGTATTATTTCCATCTTCAAGGCAAGTGAAAGCCAATGTTTGCAACTCCAGGCCTGATGGAAGCTTGATAAATGGCCACCTGCCCCTTTGTAAAAGTCCTAAGAAGTAGCCATTGCCTTGGCCTGTTTGCCTTGGCTATCAGAGAGCTTTTAAAATGCCAGGGAGCTTGAATCTGCCTGACAGCTGTGACTACAAGAAGTTAACTCTAGAACTGAACTCTTCCTGAGACAGACACAGCGCTTTCCCACCACTGCCTGCCTGCCAGAGGCTTGGCCACAGCTGGGGTCCTGCTTGGAGGAATAGCTCGGAGGAACAGCTCCCTGGCTGTTATCAGATCAAACCAGAGCTCTTCCTGATTGCCCAAGAAGGCTGAGTATTTGCTTTCTGTGCCTTGGACAGAAGTCCCTGCTTACCTGGCACACTGGAGACTTGTATTTGGAAAAGATTTGGCAACAACAAACAGTTGGAGCTTTGAGCCCAGAGAAACTCCACTGCAGCTCACTCTTCTGACCAGGAAAGAGTATGAATTAATTGGCTGCCTATGAGATGAATGGAATCCTTATGCAATAGTACAGGAGACCCTGATTTTAAATCCTCCTTCAACACCTGACTTCTCCTACCCTGTAACATCTTAAAAAGACCCTGTGAACCCTCCTTTAGCATCTAGACCGCTCTTGCTTTCTGATTGCCATTCTCAGTATTGGCTAAATACTAATCTTACGCAAAGAACTGTGTCTGAAATCTGGATGCCATCCCTTAAGACTGAAATTTAATCTTTTTTAAAATGTGGTAAGGACAACTGGATTAAACAACAACAACACCCCAAAGTAACTCTAATATGCAATACCAGCAGAAAACCTCCCCTACTATCAGGACAAAGCTAAAGGTGAACCTTGAAGCCTCACTGATGAACAACAGCTATGTTTTGCTGAATAAGCTCTGCATTTCTCTCTACAGCACTATCAGACCCAGGCATAGCCAAGGCAGAAGAGGAGGTTTTCTGGAGAAAGGTTCTAAATAGCTCCACCTCAACAGGGGTGTGCTTACCCTTAATATTAACTTTGTAAAGTGTACATTTGTCTAAGCAAACCAGGAGTTTGTGGATACTCCCTAGGCAGGGATACAGGCATCATCATAGTGTTAAAGCAGTTCCTTGGGGAATCTCAGAGGAGACACCTGAGAAGGTGGACAGTCTTCCACATTGAAACTCTTTTGTGTCTCGTGGCCAGCTACTTCAATCACCCAATACGAAGATTCTTAGAGATGTGGAGTTTTTTGTTTATTTTGCTTTTTGTTTATGTTTTGTTTGTTTGTTGATAGTCTTACTATGTAGCTCTGGCTGGCCTGTAACTCAGAAGTCCACCTGCCTCTGCCTCCTGAGTGCTGGGACTAAAGACCTACATATACTTTATTTAACAAGGGACCAGGTGATGCCTCCCAATCCAATTTTGGAAATACTTGCAGCCCATGAACTCCTATGGGGCAGCAAGTCCAGAAAGAGCATTGACAGACCAGAACAGGGTCTGGTCCAGCTGCCCCGCCATCCCACCCCGACTCCCTTCAGGCCCAAGGCACGGTTGCCCTGGCAGCACTGGACACGGCCAGGCCAAGTCTGTAGACACGCTTTCTTCCCAAAGGTCCTCACGAGGGTCCCCAGATTCTCCCAGCGAGCTGCCCGTCATGCTCAGGGGGAAACGTGGGAGCCTGGTGGGCGCCCTGGAGGAGGAGATGCCCTTCAGGTTCCTGCAGCCACCAGAGGTGGAGGCTGAGCGGGTTCTGCTTCAAGGACATCTTCAATATCAGGTGTGTGGCGGGGTGGGGGGAGCTGCGACATGGTGCTGGGCTAGCCTGCCCTGAGGTGGCAGAGCATCCAGCCCCAGCTCCTGGCGGGTGAGGGTGAGTGGCAGCCCTCCATCCCAAGCCCCAGAACCTTCTGTCTGGTTGTAACTGCAAACAAGGAAGTTTCAGTTCACCTTCCAACTGGAACAAGTTTTGAAACCCGATTTTTAATGAATTTCTAAAGAATATTACATCACAGATCTGTGTTTTACTTAAGCTTACCATCTAGTGACTTAAAGTTTTTGATTAGAGAATATGATGCTGCAATTTTCAGTAGAAATATTTCCAGTTGTCTTCAGCTAGAAGAAACTCAGAGAAGAATGGAAGGCAGATTACAGCCTATTTTAACTAGCTAAGTGTTTATAGAGTTAAAAACAGCTGATCCCTCCCGCCCCTGGAGAAAATTTCTTGTGCCACGGTTTGTCACAGAATGGAAAAGTCAATGTTTGAAAGTGTTTTGTCCAAAATTCTAACAAAATGAAACCATGAAGTAAGGAACCAGCATTAGTTGGGAGTGTGAATTCTGCTGAGCGACATATGCAGTGATGTTCACTTAAGCAAAGCTACTTTGGGATTTAAGTAAAATGTTTTCACGTATTTTGAAAACCCAAGATGAAGTATTTTTCCTAAACCTTTGGCTAGGCACTGGGATGTGGAATCTTTTTGTTAGTTTGTAAATCAGCCAGAGTTAGGAGGGAATACAAATGTTTATAATTAGAATTTGGATTAGCCCAGGGAACCAATTTAACCTGCAAGCTGATAGGATACAGACTGTGCAGTGAGACCCCTTGTAGGTCGGTGCTGCAGTGCAAAGGCAAATCATGATGTGAGCAAAGAAATGCAGTAGCGAGTGGTGATTTAGGAAAAATAGGTTTAATTAGCACTGCCGGTAATAGAATTTGAAAAGCTCTCTTGACAGTTTTATTACTCCGAAGTTCGCAAGTGCTGAAATTCTGATAATTTTGCCCTAAGACCCTTTGGTTTTCTTTCCCTTCATTTGAACACACTAGTTGTCTTTGCAATTAACACCTTGTGTTTAAAACACCTTGAGCTTCTAATACTGGACCTTCAGAAGCCTAGTACTTTTATTTGCCGAGCTGCTTAAGAAGCAATTTACTAAATCTATTGCGGTGAAATGTGATGAGAAATGAGTGAAGGGGCTCCAGAGCAGAGGAGTGACTGTACCTGAGCCACCACCCAGAATGTGGTGTTGGGATGTGTGATAGGGGAGGCCATGGCTATTGTTGCTTGGCAAGTATGTGGTGTCCCAAGGCAGACCTGGGTGATGAGGTTTCTGGACATAATTGCATTGTGTATATGAGCTGTAATCAGAGCATTCAATTTTTAAACTTGTGGTATCTTACCAGTTTCATTGATGAAAAATATACTATGTGATCTTCCCCAAACTGTCCATCTTGAGCATGATGAGCGAAGTCACTAATGTAGTTTTTGAAGGCCATCACTGCTGGAGTTATGACTGATGGTCTTTTGGACAGGGTGAGTATGACCATAATGATTGTAGTCCCCTTACTGGGTTGAAGGTGAACTTGCAGTGACAGTTGTGTTATCCTTCTCTGTAGAGGTGAGGCTTATGAGGGTCTACTGATTGAGGTGAGAGCCTTAGACACACCTGCATACAGTTTTGACCTGTTTTCTTTAAATGAAGATATGTATTTAGTTTAGTTATTTAGGTCTTTTGAAGAAAGATATTAACACTGTAAGCAGTTATTCCCTTTGGGCTAAAAGCTTTGGTACTTAGTGCTCAGATGTGTTGCTGAATGTTCTGAAGATGGAACCCAAGGACTAGTGTCTTTGCCTGATCCTAAAGACATGACTCCAAAAGCTGAGACTGTTACCAGCCACTCATTTATCAAATGTGAAGTAAATAATATTTTGTGAGATGATCTAATGAGTCACTGGATGTGGGCCTCATTGTAAAGAATATCAGTGTGTTCAAAAGAAAGCAATCTGCTCTTGATGGAGAAGTTACCATAATGGATCAATTAGGTGTTTAAGTCCCTACTTCCCAAATAACAGGGGTGGTGAACTTAATGGCATTTCATAAGGACTTGCAATATTGTCAGCATTCAATATGTTAAGTGGGGGCCTGGAGTATAGTTCAATGGTAGAGCTGATTGCTAATTGCCTGGGGTACCAAATTCAGTTTCTATAACCTTCTGGAGAGAGGGGAATCCTTCCTTGTGTCTATTAGCCTTGGTGTCTCTTGGCATTCCTTGGCTTGTGGTTCCATACCCCATGTCTTCATATGAACTTGCATTGTCTCCATGTGTTCCCTCCCCATTTTTATAAGGTCAGAGCCACCCTAAATCTAGGACAATCTCTTAGTTAAACTACAATGGCAGACTATTTCCCAATACTGTTTTAATTGAGGTTCCAACAGGATCTGAACTTTGAAGAGACAGTTCATCTCACTAAATTTGTGATGGGAGTTGGAAAGACATTCTAGGCTGAAGAAATGAATTAAGAGCAGAAAATAAAAGGCTGTTGTCTGGGGATAGTAACTGGTAAGAGGCAGTCAAAATTGTAATAAAAGAGTCCCAAATGAAACAGAAGTATGAAGACAAAATATTCAGGTTCAATTTAGTAGAAAATATAAAGTTCCCTCATGTTGTTCTTTAATTTTAAATTGGTTCACAGCATCTCTCTCCCAAATCCTTTCACTGATGATGAGTTCTCCCATCCCCCCCCCCGCCCCGAATCTGCCCACTTTTGAAGTCTCTTCTGTGTTAATGTCTTTGGTTTTTATTCCACTCACGTGTGCCTACCCCTGGCTGTATGTCTCTCAAGGCCATCTTTCAAGTCTATCTCTTTGAGCTCAGGAGGGATTCTGTCTCCTCATTTGTAGACATTAGCCTTCTTTTTCTCTGCTCTTACTTAAGCATAATAAAGTTCTCAGGACTTGTCCTTCCTGACAGCCCATGGACTGGATCCTCAAAGATTTCCTCTCTGTTTCCCTGCCTCCTTCTCACTTTGTCTAATGAGCTTCTAGATAAACAGTGTCACACACCTCCTCCTCTGAGCCACCTCTGACTAATCCCTGAATTCTGCTCTCTTCCTCTTGCTAAAAGTGTTCAGGAAAAGGTTAGAGGTAATTTCTTCAGTCTCACATGGGACTTCATTCTACATACTTGTAAAATTTGATGCTCCCAAGGAGTCTGCTCTGTTGTGACCCTACACATGCTTTCCAGGCAGTGTAGCCTATGAATCTTTCACTTTCTAGTATATACACCCTATATGTACTAACTGCCCCTGTAATGAGTGGTTCTTTGTCCTGGATGGTCCCGCTGCCCTTCAGCCGTAAATGAACACACAAACACTATATTAATTATAAAACTGTTGGCCAGTGACTTGGGCTTCTTATTGGCTAGCTCTGTCTTAATTATTAACCCATTTCTATTAATCTATGTATTTCCACGTAGTCTTGGCTTACTGCAAAATGTCTGGTGCATCCTCTCTTCCTGGGTGCTACATGATGTCTCTGTATGCCTATATTTCCCCAGAATTCTGCTCATCTCCTAGCTCTGCCTATACTTCCTGCCTGGCCAATCAGCCAATCAGTGTTTTATTTATCACCAATAAAAGAAACATATATACAGAAGAACTTCCTCCATCATGCTCCCATAGTCACTTTGTAGATCTCTTTGATATTTAATCAACTGCTATTATTTTGCAGAGCTTCTATATTGGGATAAGGACCACTTAGTTTCAGACATCCACTGGAACATATTTCTGATGGATAATGGGGGATTACTACATTTCTGAAGGTCAGACAAGATGTGAGTCCAAAAATAACAATTGGTACTAGTAATAAAGCAGTGGGGGGTACAATGTTTAGGCCCAAGGGGCAAAGTGAGGGAGCAGGCCTAAGTTTAGAAACCATGTGGATAAAGCCACTATGCAGAATCTATGGCCTTTGCTTTAACCTGACTCATTTCTTCCACCAACCCTAAGGGAAGAAGAGTAAGATTCAATTATGTTGGTTTCCTGTCTGTGTCCAAGGCCAACAGTCCTTAGGCAGAAGTTAGGAGAACACTTGCTGTCATCCACATGTTGTGGCTTCCTGGGCACAGTGCAAGTAAAGAATGATGGTGTCCACGCTGGAGAAAGGAAAACAGTCAGAATATCTGTCTGGTTTACTCTCAGCATCCTGGCAAGCAACAGACACACCAACAACATTTACTGAGTGAACATATTTGTTTGTGACTGATTGCTGGCCTCATGACCTTCATTTTTATCTAGTGTCTTGTACCATGATAAGTATTGCTAAGTATCTACAAGAGGATTATCAACATTCTCCACTTTAAGAATCTTGAAACTCTTAGCCAGGCTCTTAGCACATGACTTTAATCCCAATACTTGGAAGCTGAGGGGCTTGGATGTCTGAATTTAATGTCAGCTTGGGCTACATAGTGAGTTCCAGGATAGCCAGGGTAACTCAGAGAAATCCTGTATCAAAATATAAAAATAAAAGAACCATAAATCTTTATAAAAATGTTCTGAAGTGCATCTCTAATATATAGCAATAAATGGAGTTTCTCTGTGTCCCAGTAGCTACTCCCAAATAACCAGACTAAGTCTTATTATTAATTACAAATGCTTGACCTATAGCTCAGGCTTATTACTAACTTGCACTAACTTGCTCTTACTTCTTAAATAAGTCCATTTTTATTAAACTATATTTGCCATATGGCATTACCTCTCTCATCTAGCACCTCCCGTTTCCTCTGTGTCTCTCTGGCAACTGCTTTGACTCCATCCTTCTTCCCAACATTCTCTCTGCTGCCCAAATCCTGCCTAGCTTTTGGCCAATTAGCTTTTTATTAACATTGAGAACAGCACATTTTCACAGTGTACTGAAGGATTATTCCACAGCATATAGTTCATAAAAGTAAAAGTTTCTTGATCAGAGTGGTAGGTTTGTCTTCTTGGCTTCCACTTTGTCT